AATGACACCAAAAAAACCCCTAAAACACAGTGCTGGGAAGAGAGATTTCATGGAAGTAAAAGACCAAAAATTGTAGTCTAACAACATTATGAGGTCTGATAATTTTCTTCTCATACAGGTTTGTATCTGAATAGGTAGGATATTTTCTAGGCAAACATCTCAGAAATAGTCAGGAAAACATGATTTATTATTCTGCTTATGGATTCACTAAAAATTCCAAGACCAGACCCAGGCCTTTGCCAGTGTACTTCAGAATTTTAGAGTATGGGAAACGCACTCTCTTTACTAACACAGTGCTAACCGCCTGGATCTTTGAAAGCTAATGGTAGCAATAAAAGCAGCTTCTAAATGTTGCATGCATTTTTAAAATGGTATGGAGATCAAAATGGCATGAAGTAAAATGAAATTAAGTTGGTTTTATAACTTGTGAGTCATGTCTGGCTCAAATTTAATCGTAGGTAATTTTTTGCACACTTGCAAACAACTGCAGTATTTGCTATTCGAAAACTGCAATTGCAAAGCTAACATTCCTTTTTGATGCTTTACTATTTTTCAAACGCCACACAAATTCATAAAACACAGCAGCCATACAGTAGCTAAAAGCTGCCATGACTGCATCCACTTAGAGAAATTTTGCCAGTAAATAGCTTACATCCCTAAAACAATTCATGATTGAAAAGAAAATATATGAGCAGCCAGCATAAAACCAGGTACAAGCTTGGCACAGAATTAGCACAATGGACTGAGACAACTGCTGTTTCACACTTTTTCAAATAGAACTGTCTCTTGCTTGAGACAAAACCCACCCCGTAGACAACGCTATGCTGGAAGCTGCGTGCATTTTATCAATCCTGATCAGACAACTTCTGCTTTTTCAGAGTTATATTAAGACAATAATTAGTCTGTTACAGAAATCGATCAGGTATTGCACAAAGAAGCAGCATCCTCCTGAGACTAAGCTACCTTCCGTCACCTCCACACTTCACCGGCACTCTTCTGGTTATGCAGCGCTGCGCGACCAGAACACGAGTTTTCAACAAGCACGCTTAAATCTGCATGATTATTTTTTAATTGTGCATATGAGAAGGCCCATAAAGGATAAAATACGCAGCAGTGATGGTGTCATTGCTTCTCATTCAGCTTTTGTCTAAGTGTAGTACGACAAAAACTCAAGCCTTCAGTCATGAGTGTCCACTCAGAAAGCTAGACAGTGAGTTTAGAGCGCATCAGCTACTGCTTCATGACTTCTTGGAGGCATGATCTTAATTCATAAATTGAAATAACCTAACATGCATCTACCGTGGGGCACACACACGCATGTAAACTGTCACTCTGAAGTGACCAATAAGCTGTTAGATACACGCCTGACACATTCAGTGCCTTCATTGATCCTTGCCAGCTTATTTCCATGGCCCTGATATTTCTTCACCTCTATGAATTACCATGCTGAAAATTAATAGCCTTGCCAGTTTATTTCCATGGCCCTGATATTTTCTTCTATGAATTACCATGCTGAAAATTAATAGCTGCAATAGCAGGCTGTTCTTGACCTGCAAAGACTACATTCTATCACTTGAAGCAGGATAAGGAAGATGAGGTTAATAGGTACACACCACACACAGCACCCAGTACAGCCGTATTTTAGACATTTCAAGTCAGCTGCATAACATCTAGGTAGTGATCATATGTTTGAATTTGATTTACCCAAATCCACACATTTAAAAAAAAACCACATTATTTCAGAAAATGTATATAAGATCAAAGTAACAGAAAAATGTGAATTAGATAGGTTATAACACAGGAATGTGAAAATAGCAAAATCTGGCCTAAGTCTGATGCCGTACTACCTAACAAACCCAGTTGTTAGGGTGAGCGTTTCATTGGACAAACAGACAAAAGGACAAAAGAGAGTGAACTGAGAGAAGAGCTAGCAAGGTAAAAGCACTTCAAAATTAGTCATCGGTCTAGCTTGCAAACAGGATCACTAATGAAAAATTGGCTGTATGTACTCTATTTAAATTCAAACACGATATAATTCCTCAAAAGACAGAAGCAAAGGGACACTTGACAGCCAAGCATCAGTTTTTAGTTTCTCAAATTCCCAGTCTGACTCAGAATTGAATACAGATCCAGCAGTTTCTTTGTTTTGCTATCAGAGGAAATTAATTTAACAGACATAATGGCAACAGACTACACCGAATCAGATCACTGACACGCTCATCCTAGAATAGACCTTAGGGGATGAAGCGTAAAAATTATTCTGCAGGAAGGAAAAAAATGCCCAAACTACCCCAATAAAAAGGCATTCACCAGATATAGCATCATTTCAGCCAGGTAAACGTTATCCTAGCTTATGTATTAACTATCAGACAAAAGGCCAACTACAGTCCAAGTTCTCCATCATACTGGCATTCCCATAGGCCACACGTCTGAACAAGAGTGGAAAGGGAGAAAAGGAATAGTGTAATAGCCAGTTGTGCTTCTTTTGTATAGCTCTTTTCTTGCACAGATCTTTCTGTACAGATCTTTTCTGAAAACGCTTGTAGTTGTAACTGCACAAGATGAAATGTTGCTATGGCAAACGGGAGAGTCAAATCTAAATCTCAGATTTGATCAACATATTTGAGTTTCAGAGATCACACAGCATCTTGCCAATACAGATGTCAAACTGCATACCTTTGCATAATTAAGCAACTGAAGCAGTTATTTGACTATCTTTCACTTTAATAAACTGTCTAGCCTAAGCTCTTTGTAAAGACCACTTCTGATAAAGCATATTCAAAGCAAATTAATTTGCTAACTTTCTAAAGATTTCTGTGTGGGATACTACTTGCTCATGACAATAAAACACGACTTATCTTCAAACATATAAACAGCTGGCCTTTTTAGGAAGGCTCACTTTCTAGATTGCAATTAGCATTATGGGAAACAGATCAGCTGAACTTCCGGCATTGACAATTAGGTCAAGTTGAGGTGAACCCAGCTGCCCTCAGCTCAGTTTACAGCTCCCTTCAGCTGATGAAACAACCTTCCTGTTGGAACATCTCCTCCGCAGGAAAGTCACTGTCAAACTGTCAGCCAGGCTAACAGGCAGAGAGACCTAAGGATCTGATAAGGAGGTCCTATTTTCCAAGAAATTAAACCAAATGAGCAAGAGTTCTGGCCTATTTGACCTCTTGTTTTCTTAACAAACAGTTTCTAAATCACAAAATACAGTAAACATCCCAGGATAGCTTTTTATGTGTTTTTGTTGCTTACTTGTGAAAATATTAATACTCATTTAAATGTGCACTTAGGTGAGATCACTGCAAGGAAGACAGAAACAAGCTATTTTGGTTACAGATGAAAAGTGGCACCAAGAACCACAGGAATCGTCTAAAGCTCCAAGTTTGTAATTTATCCAAAGGACTGCGCCAATAAACTCTTATTTTACGTAAAAATAACACTCTGATACAGATATGAGAAGCAAAACAACATTACAGCTAGATTTTGTTTTTAAATTGAGAACATGGTAGTTAATTAAGTAAATGAGGTTGCTTACCCTATCATTATTTTACCAATATATTTCACATTCCTAATTGCTCTCTGACCTCTTCATTTATCAGGAAACCATTCTCCAAAGGCAAGCAGCCTATGCTTTAATAGATGGGACAAGAGGAAATCATTCAATTGTGTTGTCTTTCCAAAATCTCACAACACTTACGGTTTGCATTAGTTTTCCATAAATCCTACTTAGTTTTTGCGGGTCCAAAAAATAACCTTACATGATAATACATGTCTGGCAGCAAATAATAATAGTTACTGTTTAGAAATCGAACTTTTAGAGTACTTCATACTCTATATGTGAAGCAGATTTGATTGTAAAAAACAAGTCACATTCAGTGATCAAGAGTTCATCCCCTTCTTTCCTGCAGGCCCCCCTTTAAGTACTGGGAGGCTGCTATAAGGTCTCCCCAGGGCCTCCTCTTCTCCAGGCTCAACAACCCCAACTCTCCCAGTCTGTCCTCGTCAGGCAGGTGCCCCAGCCCTTGATCATCTTTATGGCCTCCTCTGGACCTGCTTGAGCAGGTCAACATCTTTCTTACTTTGGGGACTCCAATGCTAAATACTGATTCTCCTTAGTGTTTTTTCCTATGATGATCACCACATTCTTGAGTGTTTCCACTAAATTATTCAATATTTCTCTTCTGTTATCTGGCCTACCGAGATTTAGGCCAATGTTTTCCAAAACTGATCAGCAATAGCTCAGTTCTGGGTGGAGCAATAAAGATGTTTAGGAGTTAAAGACTCTTCAGAGGAAGCAACTTCAGATGTCTCACGAAGAAGTCTCCCCTACCAAAGCACGTACACTCGCACTTGTGGAAAAAGTCCTCCTCTTAAAAATTTACCAAATCAGCACAGTCCCTAACTAGTCAGGGCTGCGGCAGCCCACAATGAGCTTCTACCTGAGAGACACTTTATGCTTTAGGAGTGTGTTTAAGTATATATAGAAAAATATACAAAAAATATATACAAAAATATACAATAAATATAAATATTTCTATAAAAATAACACAGATAACTCAGCTAACCTCACTGGTGTGTTGCATTTTCCCTATGGCAAGCAAAATGTAAAGATTTCACAAGGTAGAGTACACTGAATATTTGTATAAATACTACAGTCTGACTATAAGATAAGGCATCATAAAATCAAGTTTGTCGTTGCTACAATTTGTAAGTAATCTCAATACTATCTCCAGTTGAGTGTTTCCTCTCTTTTCTGGATTTGGGGTCTAGCTTCAAATGCCTCCAATTCCTGTAAGGTACATTTGGTGCCATCTGTTGCAAATATATCACAACAGTCAGCTAGCCAGTCCCAGCTTGTGATCCATACAACACAGATTTTGGCCTTTCAGAAAAGACTGCAAAGAAAACCAATATTTTTAATATTAAATTCAACCAGATATGCAGATAATGTCTTTTCTTTCATACTGTATTTAGCCAGCGTAAAGCATCTTTACCTGACAGAGCGTCTTGTGCTTCAAAAAATGTGCTGAGACCTCCTTTCACATAAGCCAGGCTCCCTTCATTTTTCTTATTGGCTTGTTTCTTCAAATTCACAACAGCTGTTTTGAGTTGATCAAAACTGAAAACAAACAAGAAAAACCCCTTGACATTCAAACAAGATAAGGTTAGCTAATGAATAAACAGAACAAACTACTCAGAAAATTAAGTCAGCTACTTTTGCACCAACTGTTAAGGACTGAGTAATTTCTAATGAATGTGCTTCTTGATAAGGACAATTTACTCTTAGCCAAAAGAGGTTTTGGGGTCTTAGTTTTAATACTAAATGGAGGGCTCCTATCACTTGTGATAGAATAGACTTTATTATAAAAATTAGTCAAGAAATTTCTTCTAAACATGTAATATTGTTCTTGGTTAACTGTCTGTACTACATTAAATAGGTTGGCTACACTAGGTTAACTACAGGGATATTAGCAGTCTCTTTTAAGAATGACATTTGCTTAACTCTACAACTTAGTTCACAACCCTTTTTCACTTCCAGTTTCTGAATTCCTTCAATGTTTTTATATTGGTTTGGACACACAGTTCAGAACTGAACACAATATTAGTGAAAAAATAAAGAAAAGCTGAACAGACACCTGCTTTACGAAAGTAAGTTTTTATATGTAGTCTTCTGAATTGCTTTTGGAAGAAATTTCATAAGGGAATATTAACCACTACCTGATCATTTTTGTTTGTATGGTAGGTTTCTTTATATCTTAGTTTCCTGATATTTCTAGATTATTGCCAGTTTACACTTGATTTCACAGTTTTATTTTTTTGCAAGCAACTGTATTTTAGAAATCTTATGTCATGACAGTTCCTCATTACTTGCATATAATTTTTCTGTTCATTACTATGAATACGTTCTCAGTAGTTGTGCTACTGGATTATAAAAGCATTGTCATTAACAAGTTCAGAAATACAAATTTAACAATATGATTTTCATTCTTGATGTCTTTTCTCCTATCTGCAGGCCAAACCCATCTCCACGACAAGAGGGGAAACATCAAAGTAAGGAAATGAAGACAAAAAGCAATTCCACCTCTTTGCCCATTTTAAACAGCAGTAGAAAAAGACATATTAAGAGAACAAATCAAACTGTAGCCCAGGCAGCATGAAGGCTGCTGCCACCTGCTGAGAGACAAAACAACCTGGTGCATTTACAGGCATTTTCCTTTTTATTATGATGATGTCATAGCATTGTGCTTTATTTCCTGTTTCCATCTGCTGGACAGAAATCACATTACTCAGTAACTGGATTGGTCTACTTGAGCATACAAGACTTACTTACCAGTGGCATTATGAAACTAACAAAAGTCTGTACGGTTCTCTCTTTAACCACTACTTCATGTTACCTGATGATCTAATAGTATGTCTAACTGGTTTATTTATATACGTCAGGATATTGCAGCAGGTAAAAAAATTAAATAAAACAACATTTTCATTTTGATTGCTTCAAAAGAATTTCCTTTAAGGAAAAAACAGACATAAGCTAACCAAAACATCAGCGCACCACACATTGAGCACTCCCAATCTCTGAGGTTACATAGAGGACAAGAACTAAACCATTGCTGTGTGTTTCCGGAAAAACAGCACAAGTGATACGGGGCAGATAATGACACAATTCCAGAAGACTACGCATTTTTAAGCGGGAATTAAAAAAACAATCAGTTTTACTGCTTCTTTAGTTAAAAAGTTGCAATTAGACTCAAAACATGATTGGATATCCACTATCCTTTGAACCAACTCCTGCTGAGTTTTAAACAGCTTTTGCACTTTTAGCACTAAGATTTAGATTTTACATACCAAGATAAACTGAATTAATACGCAAAAAACCAGCTTCCATTTAAAAACAAAAATTAATACTTTTTACTCCACTGGATTGACAAGACTATGGCTTGAAACTGTTGGCATGCAAAGACACAAATAAATGGAAGCTTTGTGATCTTTATTTTATTTTTGCAAGAAAGATAAAGTCCTTAATCTAGTGCTAGACAAAGTGTTAAAAATGTTTTTTCTTAATGGGAAGCTTCAAGTTTACATGACAACGGACTTTCAGGCACTGACCCACTGGGATAGTACAAGTTAAATAATTACATCAACTTGAATGGCCCCCTTTAATTTAAGTTACCAATGCATAGTACTGATGACCAGAAAAAAATGGTATTTTTACTGACACCGTGTCATATTAGAGATATAACCGTTACATCGTGCCATTGTTCATCATTCTGATTGAAAGAGTAATTTCATCTATTCTTAGAAGTCATTTAATTCCTTTTCTGGATCCACAGCATCCTTAAATGTACCTAAGCCATCTATGACAGATAGCTGTCAAATCAAACCTCAGCACTCTCCAGTGATGGTGATTCTGCAGCTTTCTAAGTTAGCCTGTGCCAGGGTTTAAGTAATCTAATATGGTTTATAATCTGCATCTAACCTAAATCTTCCTTGTTGCAAACAGACAGCTTGTCCCGTTCTTCTAAGTTAGATTACTTAAACCCTGGCACAGGCTAATATGGTTTATAATCTGCATCTAACCTAAATCTTCCTTGTTGCAAACAGACAGCTTGTCCCGTTCTTCATAAACCAAGAACAACTGATGGTTATCCTTGAAGTGCCCACTGTGAGTTTCAGAACATGTATTAATTTTGTTTCTATTCTAAAAGCACCTAATTCATTCAAGCTGTATATTCACAGTTATTAATATATTCCTATTTTTGTGACTTGCTCTCATATCCTTCTTAAAGCAGCAGCCAAAAGCTGGCAGACCACTGCAACTGCAGCTTTAGTAATGCTGCTCAGAGTAATTATCCCCATCTCTTATCTGACATGCTGATACACCCCAGAAGATTAATTGTACTACACAGCCAAACAGGACTTATGGCATGATACAAATACTAGATTGTCTTCTGTACTACTGTTGCCCAACCCCAGGTGTGTACTCTCCTGCTTGCCTGTCCCACAGCCTTCAGAGCTTGGCCTTCAACCATTTCATGATTTCACAGCTAAGGCTGCCACTGGTTACCACATCTCCTGCCTTGCCTGCAAGAATCATATTTAGGAAAGCAGCACTCCTGATTGTCTGGCCACCTCCTATAAATATCAGGGAGGTTAGTCTTGTACAGGAACCAGGGTCTGCTCACTGGAGCCTTCCTCAAGTTGCTTAAGGAAGATCCCACTGAAATACCACCCTTTTCCAGCCTCTTGAACAAGCTCTCAACCACCTAGCTACTTGCTCCATAAGCGGGGCCATATATATTCAAACTGTTCTTTCACACAAAGGTCAAGTCCCTCTCTTTCACAGAACCACAGCATGTCAGGGGTTGGTAAGGACCTCTAGAGCTCATCTAGTCCAACCGCTGCCAGAGCAGGATCACCTTCAGTAGGTCACACAGGAACACGTCCAGACGGGTTTTGAATGTCTCCGGAGAAGGAGACTCCACACCCTCCCTGGGCAGCCTGTGCCAGGGCTCTTTCACCCTCACAGGGAAAAAGTTTTTCCTAATGCTTTTGTGGAACCTCCTGTGGTCCAGCTTGCACCCGTTGACTCTTGTCTTACCACTGGACATCACTAAGAAGAGCCTGGCTCCATCCTCCTGACACTCATCCTTTACACACCTGGGCTCCCGTGCTTTTCTTCTTTGTCCTCAGGGCTTTGCATTCACCCTTGATCTGTTCTGCATCTCTCTTGGCAGCCTCAGTGGTGCCCACAGGCATGAATAAGAATATGGCAACAGCTCAAGGGCGAAACATAAAGGAAATGTCTTAAAAACAGCTGCAAAAACTGTTTGCTCTTTCTTTATTATTCCTTTACGTTCTTTTAAAAGCTGATAATCCCTAAAGTTATCAGGTTGTGATAGACAGAATTAATTTTGAGTCACTCCTAGTTACCTGATCTCAAAAAGATGCTGTCACTACATGTGCATTAGGTAGTAATGCTCTCTCATTTTGGCTTTTCAATCTATCATTACTTGAGAGGAAATTAAAGTATTTCCCAAGTAGATTAATGGCTATTTCTGGAGCTCCTAAAACCTCTACCCTCCTCCCCCAAGAAAAGCAAACCAATCAACCCACATCCATTTCTACCATTAGACAACAATATGGTATTATGAACTAGATTTAAAACCAAAGATGTTAATAGTCAAGATTTTAAGAGAATTACCTGAAAGATCTTACTTCTCCATCTTTTTTTACTACAGCATTTTCCAAAGCTAACAATACTAATAGTTTTAATCCTAGTCATTCGTTCAGTGCCCTTATCCCGAGCCTCTGCTCATGACTTAAGTTAATGCCTGGAGTTTCCACTCAAGGCCACATTGCTGAACTTCTTTAGCATGCAGACAGACACTTGCCATCTGACACGAGGTGGAAGAGGTCATAAATTACCTCTGGTTAAAACAAAGAAGTTTTCTTTGTAACCTCATTAAGCAAACTGGTTGATTCAAGTTTCTATCCAAGCATAAACACCACAGGCAGTAGAGACTACAGGTCTATTACTGTAAATGTCGACCACTAATGACAAATCTATTATAGAATGAAATAACATCAAGTGGTTTGCATTTAGAACAATTATTTATATGATAGCATCAAACCTTGTTGTTGAATGATTCTCAATCAGGTACCAGGCAGCAGAAAAGTTTTCGCTAGTGAAATCAGCACTCATCCCAGGAAACAACGCCTCTAAGTCTTTCTGAGGAAATCTGCCTCTGAAAAATTAATATTAATGTTCTTCAGTGAGACATTCTTGTGAATAACTTACAATTAAACGTGTCACATTAAAAACAAACAACACACACAACAAAAAACCCCCAGATTGTATTTCCATCTTGTTGGGACATAAACTACAATTAAATCTGGTATTACAGACAGATGTAGCATGACTGGGAAAGACACGATTTAAATCCAATGTAAGTAAAACTAATTTTACCATTTTGATTTCACCATTACCTGACAGAAATATTGCTTGTACAAAATGCTTCTAAAGAAAGAGAACTGCTGCCTTTAAAAAAAAAAAAGAGACTAGCCAGACTCACCAGGATACTACTAGTATTCAAATGCAGGAACACTAATGATCAAAGTCAATCAGTCAAATCAGTACACCAAGCCAAGTAAATGAGAGAATATTTTCTGCAAGCTGTGAACGAGTATCTATCTAACTTTAAAATGACAGGACACGACCAGGTTGACAGCTTGTAAGTGACCAGGCACCATCATTTCTATTGGTCCACAGGCAGTAGAAGTCCCACAAAACATGAAGACAGATACACAGAACATTATACACAAACTATACACAAACACCGAAAGAAATCCTGAGGTAAAAATCATCCTCTTGCAACTGATCTGTCTGCTCGTAGCACACAAAACATAAAGGGAAAGGCTGCACGTCAAGTCAGAAACAGCACGTTTTGTTTTTATTCAGTCTTGCCATGCACAAACACAGCATGTGAGCCAACTCCTTCCAAAAGCAAATTCTCTAGAACAGTATTTTTGAGACTACAAGTAGCTTGGAAGATATTCATACAGAAAACGTACTCCATTTATTTTAAGTCAGTGTAAAAAAATATTTAAGGCACTTTTTGACAAAACCAGGACAATCTTCATCCCTCAGTTCAGACTCATGCGTAACAGTTGGCCACACTCACTCCACCAGAGGCACCCCATGTTCAGAAACTGCTTGTGGCAAACGCATTTACTTTTGATCAGCCTCAAACTGGTCAGGCAGTTGGACTAGATTATCACTGTAGGTGCCTTCTGAATGAAATATTCTATTCTGAAAAATTACTACGTCATTTTTGGATCACAACGTCAGGCTCAAAAGTCAGTAACATGCCTCTGTGATACCCAAAAGCTAGGTGAGCTCTCTTACACAGGGCACACTGTACCCAAGTGCAAACCTGTTGTACTTTGCATTTGAGATCAAATTTGGGTGGAGGTAGCAATCTAGAATCAGCTACTGGAATTACACTTAATACATATGAAAATCCATTTGAATGGCCAAGAAAGCAACGATTCATTAGTTCTGTTTTTTCTGTCATCTAAACATGTTTCAAGACAGCTTGTGCTGTTTTATTACAAAAAGCAAACAGTAGATTAAATGAAGCAGATCTAAAGGCAGGCACATTAAAAAGCACAATTATACAGAATCAAGAGTTGTTTTGAGTAAGTTAGTATTCATATCCCAAAGGCCATTAGCACAAGCAGGTAGAAAGGACGTACATAAATGACATGACACGGAAGTCTTCCATCAGCAGCACGTGACTGCAGCAGGAACACAAAATAATGCTTTTTAAAACCAAGAAAAAAAATTTAAAAATGAAATGAGATGCAAGGAAAAGCGATGACAGATATGGAAAGCGGAGGGATAGAGAAAATAGTGTGAAAAACAAATGTAGCAACTAAAACTTAAAGTCTTCACACACCTCGGTGTTCAGGGAAAAAGGTAATATAAACATAGTTAATATAAAAATTTGTAAACATAATTAGCAAGGTTCAGGATTATCAATGACCCTGAATTTCATGAATGCCAGTCTGTGAGCAGAAAATGCTGCTGGATGTAAGGAAAAGAAAAGTTTTCTTTTATCCTTCCTTTAAAGATACTGTGAGAAATTTTACTTTTCATTCAAAGTAGTCAGAGCTACCCAGCAGGCACATGAATTTGCAGGATAGTACTTCACATGTGATACATGGCATGGCTGTCGAAAAAAAGCTTTTATATTAATTCTGCACATGGTGGCATCTTTGCAGTCAACTAAATTTTTAATGCTAAAAACCAAAACGAATAAAAAAATTTTCAGTTACCTCAGAAGAAACTCAGACCTCCAATGCAAGCACTATCTAAGTTCATGCAAGCACAATATAGAAGCAGAATTTTGTTAATATTTTTCCAAATTTCAATTTATTTTCTCAGAAGCCAAAAGAAACAGATATAAGAAAGCATGCACACTCAACAAATACACCACTACCAAACCCTACTTATTATTGCAAGACTGTAAGACACATGTGTGGCAGTTTAAGCTTACGTGTAAGCTTATACAATTCCGGGGGGACGACCCAACTATTTTATATATATATGAAGCGAGATAAACCCCAATCATGTAGCTAGGGATGCAGTAGAATCCTGCAAATGAGCTTAGAACAGAAGACACTGGGACAGAAATGAGGAGTTTTTTTCATTTTGATGTTTGACTGCACTGAAAAGTTAATAGGCAATTTTTTCCAGTAGATGTATTTGTGCAGAATCATAAATTAGCAATGCATTTATGGGTGCTTTTATTTATGTGGACATATTTTAGACATAATCACAACAGAGTAGAAACATGAATGTGAATGTGTGCGGTATGTATACTCTGCAATACTCTGTGGTGCAGTATCCTTGTTTTTATCATAAATTTTACCAGTAGTTTTTCCACTAACAGATATGGGGAGCTTGGAATGACTTGCTGCAGCTGTCTTCACAACAAAGCTCCTCACTGAAAAGTTCAAACTGAAAGCAACTGTATTTCTAAAATGTCTGGCTAGATGCATCTAAAAAGAGACTGTCTCCACATACACACAAGTTTGTTTCATTAACTTCCATTAGCAAATTAAATAAATAAGTCCTTGGAAGCTGTTCTCACGAAAACTTGCTCATTGTTTACTTATAAACAAGTACATATGTGACTTAAGTACTTCTGGTTTACTCATTTCAGTATTACAGGGTGAATGTGAACTAATAGCAAAAGCTGAGACGACGCTGACACACAATGAAATTGTTGATCATTTTTCTGCTAATTTGCTCATTACACAAGAATCACTTTAGGAGGTAACTCTGAACACTTTATCATTGATTAAAAAGCAATCACTGTAAAAGAAACTGGGACGCACACATTGAATCCAGAACATCTCAGAAAAAGAATAGAGAAGTTTACCATCCTTGACAACTCTATGTATTTTGCTACCTTTATAATTTCAGCAGAGGTACACAGATTTATATTTTAGTACTTTCTGCTAAGCAGACTATTTTACTTAAAACCAAACCAGATTTGGTACTAGACTTCTAATTAATGTTTTAAAGTAGTCTTACTCATCCACCAGCAACCATTTTATATTTAAAAGTAATTCCGATTTCACACAGTGTTTATATTCACGACAACTACAAAAAAAAAAAAAATTTGGTTTCGAGCCACTACATCCCTTCACTTCCTTGTAACATATTTTGTACAGTCATACGGTATTCGATGCAGTGGTCCTTGCTTCCACATGAAGGTACACACACATCTACTTTGGATTCAAAGCACACAGGGTGCAATCAATTCACATGCACCCACAGTTTAAGTCCCTCCCTCCACCACCCCAAACTTTAGGTTCTGTATGGCCTGATACTCAATAAATCTAATTTAGCTTCACAGCATATATTGGCTCTTGCAAAATCTACTGCGGAACTCAGGCATATACAAAGCAGTTACGTTCTCCCGAGGTTTAGGATTACTTGTGATCTCCATGGGTAAATCACAGCTTCCAAGCAGTCACAACCAAGTAACAGAAGCAGAACGCCACGGATACTAACGAACAGAGCACCCAACCATGAGCACAGCTTAGCAAGCTGTAATTTTTCTGTAAAGATTATTTTGCTCCCAAGAGTTTCAGAATCTCACACACACTATGCTTTTCTGCATACATGGCGATATTTGTAGATTAAAGGCAGGTCCCAAAACAGGATACGGCCACCAAAGGGTAACTTGAACTCCAATTCCACAGGAGTTTATAGGTCAGAAGGAGCAACTTTAAATAAACACGGATTCTGAATAGCAATCAGCATTAACAAGCTCCAGCTAGAGCTGCTGTACATTCTGCCCTCTGTCTGGTACCAGACAGACTCCCAGCAGCAGCTTTGTACCAGCTGCACTGTGTTAATAATGCGTGCAAAAAGACCGGCATAAGGGACATTGGAGTAGACTAAACATGACAAATCTGAAGGTGTTAACAAAGGTCTTTCCAAGAGCCAAAAGACAAGGATGCACTCTGGCCATTACTCCCTAGGAGTGTCGGGTTTATCAGAAATATGACAACAAAACGACAGCCATAGCTGTGAAATGGCAGGATGTGATAAGAGAAATCCACTAAACGGCTGGTAGATGCAAGCAATGCACCAGCCTTAGAAGCAGTAAGTGTTATTATATTATTTAACATCATAAAGCTCGGACTCCATACTCCTACATACTGCATCTCTCTCCCGCAGGTTTCGCAGTTTTTCTGCACGCATCTTTCTGCTAAAAGCACAAGCCCATCGCATTCAAGGCTGTTTCCATACAAAGCAATTAAACAAATACCAAAGCCTCACGGCGACAAGCTGGCGTTTACCATTAGGTGGCAGCAGCAGATCATGGGTTCCCTCCTCCCAGAGGAACTGTTTTGGAAGCCGGCGTGGGAAGAGGGAAGCATCTGTATTGAGTGGGTGGACACAGAGGGATGTGGAATGTCCTTAGCATGTCAGCCTTTGCTTTCATGTACGAGACGGATCCACTGTCATGACCTCTGCTACATGCAGAACAACAAACACTCGTCAAAAATTCTCTAACCACCCCTAGGTCTGACTGCTGTTACTGCTTTGCAGAGAATGGATTTTCTTAACCTTTGATTAAACAAGGACTTGCAGGAGGTTAGAAGTGTGTGGTACATCTGAACAAGCAAGTCATTCACAACTCTTGTCTAGATCGACATTCTCCACCAACAGGTTTCAGCCAGTGCCTTTATGAAATAGGTATCATATTCTCTCACAGAACTGCCCAAAATGCCAAAGAATCCTATGTTGGCAGCACACAACCTACCAGCCCAGTCTCGTAACAGCTCTAAACTGCTAAAAGCAACCCAAGGACTGCAACGCTGCAGTTAACGTCAGCAACCTCATACCAAGTTCCACATTTCTCAGATGGAGGCAACTACTCTATACACTTACTTTCTTCTGACAAGCTCTTAAGACTTCTGTAAAGGTTTCTGACTAAACGTATATTCAACAGCCAGGAATATTCAAGAAGGACAAGGAACTGCTGGAGAGAGTCCAGCGCAGAGCCACAGAGATGATGAAGGGAGTGGAACATCTCCCTTGTGAGGAAAGGCTGAAGGAGCTGGGTCTCTTTAGCTTGGAGAAGAGGAAGCTGAGAGGTGACCTTATTAGTGTTTATAAATATATAAAGGGGAAGTGTCACGAGGATGAACCAGGTTCTTCTCAGTGGCAAACAATGATAGGACAAGGGGTAATAGAATCAAGCTGGAACACAAGAGGATCCCCTTAAATTTGAGAAGAAACTTCTTGTCAGTGAGGGTGCCAGAGCCCTGGCACAGGCTGCCCAGGGAGGGTGTGGAGTCTCCTTCTCTGGAGACATTCAAAACCCACCTGGACGCGTTCCTGTGTGACCTACTGTAGGGGATCCTGCTCTGGCAGGGGGTTGGACTAGATGACCTTTTGAGGTCCCTTCCAATCCCTGGCATACTGTGATACTGTGATATTCCTTGGAGAGGAAGGTAGCACAGACCTTCTGCACATTTAAAACAAGCACAGAAGATAGTGATGGAAAACTCAAGTTTTCTATCAGTCTTTATTCCACCTGAGAAAAACAGATCTCAAAGATTAAATATTTTAAATACCTAGTTCATGGCATGATTTAAACACATCATAGCACACAATAGGCACTAAGTGATAGCAATGTAAAAAATTCATCTAATTGGATCAGTTCTGTGATTTAAAAGATAAACAACTGTCAGCAAGGCAGGAGAACAACTGTGTGCAAACACTCTTCTACAAAAATATAATTTGTGACTTTAACAATTACCACTGAAACAATAACGAGCAAGTTCAAGTTTCATTACTATATAAATGACTTCATTATTTAGCAAGCGAGATTCTTAGTTAATTGTATGGCACAAGAACAGCAATTAGTTCTTAGAAAATAGGAAGAACTTATGAGCCAGAAATTATGTATACCTAGCACTTGTTGAACTTGCAGGCTAAAAAATGATGTCTTGTGTATTGTATATACATATAACCCTAAAAACATCTTGACTACGTAAAAAACAAGGAGAATGAGTATATATCCACAATTTTTACTTTGCATCCTTGACACATTTGAATGAGCACAAAAAGAGACTTCCAGTGTATATTCTGAGCATACGTATCACTCCTACAACATATCTACAAGCAGTGTCCTAATTATTAACAGAATGCGTTAGACCCACTGTTACCTATTTCCTGTAAATCACAATTCAAACATTTTGTTCACTTAAATCCCAGTCACTCCCAATTAAACTCCAATCTTAAGTCTTCTGAGTCAAAATAAATATTTTTTGTTCCTGTGTTTGCCTAAGTTTAATAATTGCTTTTTTTTCCACTACTTTGTGCAATTTCTCGTTACTTATTCATCCCATGCATCAAGTATTTGCAAATATGTGAGCTTACTTAAAACTATATGTGGCATTAGAGGTTTACCTTATAAAAGAAACATGACATAGCTCCAGTTTTTCAAGCCAATTATGAAAGCTTTTCCATTGGGAAGGCACTTGTTGATTAAACACAGAATCTTCCATCTATAGTTACAACTACTAACACTGTGCTGTCACCCCTAGCAGGAGGGGACACCAGGCTTCTCCATTCTTTCCCCTCTCTCTCCTCTCCACAATTTACCCTTCAATCCCTCTACAGAATTACTTCTATATGGTCTAGTCTGCCTTCTCTCAAAGTGGTCATTTTCAATACCAGTGCTTGTCATAATCTTCACGCTTCATCTCCAGGGAACTTGGGAGTAAGAACTATCAACTCTGGCTTTGTAGTCAACTACAAACTTTTAACTTTTGTTAAAAACAAATTAAAAGTAACTGTATAATAACCATTGTATTTACAGAAAAAAATGTATTGCAAAAACCTATGGATAGAGGACTATGCAACAGGACTAGTTATCTTCACTTAAATCCCAGATAAAATAATTGAAAAGCCATTTCAAGGTTCAACAAACACAGAATTAAAGCAGAGAAAATGAGTTTTAACGTCAACCAGTTACAACTCTTTCCTACAATGTTAATATGTTTGACAACACATTACAAGGACTTCAAGATTAAGTGCTTCATTGAAAAAAAGTAACCAGATAAAATTACTATATTGTCATTTTAAAGGAGACTAGCTACAGTAAAATAGATTATAAACTTAGTTTTATGCAATGCCAATAGAATATATATAATGGATTAAAGAACTAACTATGAAAAAACCTCACACAAAATCACCCAAAAACATCCACCAAACAACCCATGAAGAGGCAAACCCAAGCGCATGTGCAGATAAAGTTTTACTGAAGCTCACATTACTCTTTCATCAGTATTTACATCATCTGCAGTAATAGCTTTATCACCAATAACTTTTTATAAATAGCTGGTAAAAACAAGAAAGACTGCCATGGGGACTGAAAAGGACAGACTTGCCAAGGAAGCAACAAAAAGAATAAAAGAATCCGGGCCATTCCTGCACAACAATGAGCAGCCATGCCATCAGCAAAAGTACCAACCCCAGAGAATCCGCTCACAAGCCACTCATTGCTAGTTGTGCCAGTGTAGCACTGCAGTAAAAGCATTACTTGTTTGGTTTTTGTTTTGTTTTGTTGGTTTTTTTTAATTTATGACTAGTGGAGAGAGAGTGGAGAAGACACAGGAAGTCTTCTAGTAAGATGCTGGAATAACAGTCACAGCCCCAGAGTCCACATTTTAACTGTGTTGGAAAACTGGAGAAGATGAAAGAATTACCCGTCAGAAGTTATGTCAGAGGCTTAAGAAAAATACTTATAAAGAGACAAAATATTCAGCTTATTATAAAATAAAAAATATATATATTTTTTTCAATCTAGGAAAGAAATGCACAGCCAGAGGCTGGAAGGTGGTAATGGACCCACTAGAAAGTCCATGCAGATTTTAGGCAAGTGCTGCTTCCCCACCACAGCAAGGTAACAATGGACACTGCAGATTTTCTCCAATATACCCCCCCTTACAAACGGAGTATTCAGCAATGAGACCCTTAGTGACAGGTTAATTTTAAATAGCCTTTGGTTTTGGTAGAGCTGGTATCTTGCTTAAGAGAAATATTATTCCTGATGATATTTCTGGGAGTTGGGTGGGTTTGGAGCCCTAAGAGTGCTCCCCATTTAAAGCCCCCTAATTCCATTTATCATTCGCTATAAGGTTTCTATTTCAGAAAAAAAAAGTCATAAATTCCACCATACTTACGAACAAAAGTAAGGAGGTCTGTGGGTTTAGAAAACAGTATTAATATTCCAATAAAATAAACTAGTTGATGTGGTGCAATAACTCACATTTTACAGCGCAATTTTAGCAACAGATAGCAATCTAAACATCCTTAAAAGCCCCATGAAACTCAAATGCAACAGTAAGTATTCTGCAACCGCAATGTATAAACCCAAAGCCTTAGGTTATTTATCAATCCTCAAAATCTAAATATCACTGCGGTTCAATATATCGTGCCTTTAGATAATCTACAGTTCTAACTGATGATCCAAAACCGAGTATTATGAAGCAGGATAGAACATGCACCAACAACTCTTTTGAGTACCAAATAGCATACTAACAGCTAATACACATATATTTTTTAAATCTCTCCTTCCCCTGTAAACCATTAAACTTTTCTGGAATTCACAAAGGCACATATAGAGAAAAATCACTCAAAAAGTGGATTAAAGGCATTTGGTACTCACTTGTCTATCTCAATACCGAGCGGATTAGCTGGACGTAGGGACAAGGGGGGAATCCCTTTGTTCCTGTCAGTGCGCATGTCATAATAGTTCATTTCATCCACCCAGACAGCAGACTGATCCAAGATACCTAGAGAAAACAGAGCGCAGATCCTTAAAACAACAAGGGCGGTCCAGCACCATCAACTTCTAACATACTGAATTAATTTGAAAAATCCTGATAAATATAAAATGCATACCTAGGTAATATATTGAAAGATACATTGCGAAACAACCTGGATGCAATTATGCTAAATTATTTTATTATAGCTGTTGAAAAGGTATTTGTGGCTGGGCATCAAATGTTACCCTCTTAAAGAATTCATGTACATTAAGAGCATTTCCCTGATCACAAATTATTAGTATTTTTCATTCCTCCAAGTATGCCCAAACCTTGTCATCTGCTACTTTCAAAATGAGCAATTACTTGGACGTTGTCTTATTTGCATATTTTAGGGAAGATCCCTTTTCTGTGCCATTCCCTAACCAAAAATTCAGTGAACATGCTAAGATGGATGGCTCAAAGGACACAGGACTGACTTTGTTTCAGAAGCCTTAGGCACAATGTGCAAAGGTCTGGGCCCTGAGCCTAAAAAGCAGCCAGCTATACCCTTGGCCATGACCTTTAATACATCCAGCAGATGATCAACACTAGAAATGACCCCATTCCCATGTCCATTTTTAAAAATATCAGTTCTTCTCTCCCAGCACCAAAAGGTTCACTGTGTAACATTTGCACTTGATTCACCTTTCTGTTTTTAAGGTCTTAGTGCAGCTTGGGAAAAAACTACAAGTTATTCAACTGTCATTGAACCACAAAGGCCAAAAGCCTAAACCTGTTCTTGTGCAAATCCCTACATTAGAAAAGATCACTATCCAACTTCACCAATGATGATCAAGTTCTTTTCAATACAGATGGTTTCAGACTGGATTCTAGATTAAGCAGAGGTCCTAGACTGCTTGGCAACATCATTTCAATGGTTAAGCATCTCACAAGAAATACTTCAGGCTTTCCATCTTGCAGGACAGTTTGAATTACAATAAGAAACAGCACTGAGGACTCACCTTTCTTTAAAGGATTAACTATCAGCTCAAGATTTAGGTGTAAATCTCATAAGCTGGTTTATATTTTGTAATTACCTAGGACACTTAAGAGTAATTACTGGATCTGTTATGATTTTTTTTTTAAACTTTAGAAGTTTAGTGCTACTCCTTACAGAAAAAAAAAGGTTACTCTTCATTAGTCACTCGAGTTTTTAATCAGGATATTGAAATAGGTGGATTAAATTCACATATACCACGAGTTTGTCCATGTATAGGTTTGCACATCTGACTATTATACCCAACTTTTCCTAGACAACTGAAGATAGTCCTGAGGTCAATCATTTTAAATATACATTTTATTTAAAGAGGCACTCAGGTATTTGTTTAGCAAGGAACACAGGTGTGAATTTGAATAAGAAAAATACCTATTTTTTCAGGTTTAAGTAGTTTGAAGGAAACAGTTGAAGTTCCTTTGCCACCAGACTTTGTAGTAACAATAATGTCTCCCTTGTCATTTTTAGCCTGTCCGACTCGACACACAATCTTACTGGCAGACATCCATTCCGCAGTTAGCAGACAGTTGTGCCCACAGATTGTCAAACCTGGGAAAAAGAAAAAAGAAAAAACTTACTGTGAATAGAAGCATCTTTTGAAATTTTATAATGCAAATACATTTATGATGTCTCTTGCAGCAAACAACAGAGAAAGAATCATGAGAACATTTTTCACAAGTTCCCTAGGTGACTCCAAGTCTTTTGTCCCAGTGACACTTCATGAAACACGCAGTGCTGCTTCAAGCATATTTTAGTCTCTTCTACCAGTTATGGGCTACCATAACTTTTCCTTCATGTTGTACAATGGATCTTCTGCCTGTAAGACACTTAGAGAACTGCTGTTCCATATAGCACTTCTGTGAAACTTCCATCAAAACTGCCTGCAAAAAATCTTTTCTAAGTTCACTTCATATGACATTGCATAGCAAAAATCCCAAAGAAACTGCAAAATATTTACAATTAACAACATTTCTTTAACTTTATCTGATCAGCAGTACTACCGTGAACACAAGGGTGTTTTTGGTCAAAAAATCAACAAATATCCTGTCCCAATCTCAAATATTCTGTCCCAAAAATCCATGATAAGAGACTAATTCTGCTGAATAAACCATCTTTGTTGGATGAAAAAATAACCATGTAACGTTTACCCATTTCCTCTTCTAAACCTTTCCATAAGAAGTAAAATGACACACTACAAAATTAAAGCATAATATATATTTTAGTCGTGAAGTCTTCTTGCAGGAGAAGACTGTGGCACATTAAAATGTCCTTAATACAAGGTCTGAGGCTTCCTGGGGCTTCGCATCAAATCAGTCTGACCAGCTGATGAATCTGACAGATCAGTCTGGTCAATTCTGGCCAGACCAGCACTCTGGATGCCAGAACAGACAGATTGTTTACTCAGATCTAGAACAACAGTTTCGATATTTCAAATCAGAGATTTGTTGTCTTGAAGAATGGGCAAGATCCTAATTTCTACAGTATCAACTTAAGAAGAATCTAATCAAGCTGTTCCTCAAGTATCACTCTTACCTAGAAACTTTTTGCCTTATGTCCAAAAGCACATGGCCCTACCAGTGTGTTGGCTGTACTGGACTATAAATCAGTCAGGCACAGTGGTTCTTCCCCTGTTGGCTTGCCTTTTGTTTTTACTTTCTAGAAAGCTCTGACCAATTTAAAAAAAAATACTTACAGACAGAAAAGGGTCAGCATATATGGCTCAGTACCAAAGCTTCACACTTACTTTCTCTCACAATTTACGTCTCTGACATTACGCAGCAGACAAATTTGGCAGTTTTCATGGTTGTCACAGAAAAAGCCCTACTCTCTGCCAAAAACTATTTTGAAAATGAAAACAAAAAATAAAAAAACAGAGAGGCACTGAATCTTGTTACAACTGAAAGCAATTTTACTTTTGCAAGGACAGTAGATCTGTTTCTTAAAAGATGCCTGAATGAAGAGGTAGGGAGAGGAGGGCAGGAGCAAAAGACGATACACACAAAAAAAGCGCCTTGAAATAAATAATTGGTTGTTATTTATTTGTAACATTTTATCCAGTTTTTATTTTTCAGAGGGGAAGAAAAACCCCCACACATTCACGATGCATAGGTTTTAACCTTACATTATATTATTAAATCTCTTGTGGCTTTATGCTAGCAACTTCTCTGAAGGAAAAAAGATTGTGGCAGGAACTAATACTAGCTGAAAGAATTTGTCTGAATCATTCATAAAGACGATTCCACCCTAGAATTTCAAAGGTGTGAACTCATGCTTAAATTAAGCAATGCTTTAAAATGAAGACTACAGCAAGTAAATAGGGTAAATCCTTTTGAACAGCTGTTTTAAAAAATCCTTGCATCAATTATTTTCTACTCCTCGTAGGTTCAATAAAATCACAAGATCCAACACTTCTGAAATGGGAGGGAAACAGTCTTTGTGTGTATCTCAGAAATGCAAAAGAAAGTATGTCTCTCAACATTTTATATACCATACTAAACCAGAACAATGGGCAAAAGACAGTTTCTAAAATAAGGGCATGTTGGTAGAAACATTTTGATAGTACAGATAATACAGATTTTTTTTCTCCCAAAAGAGAAAATTCCCCTTTAAACAAAATTGCATTTTAATCTATTGCATGATACAAATTTATACGAGAGCATCATACTCAAGTTCTAGCTTTTAAATGCCTTTGAACAAGTAGGAAAAGCAATTCTCTTATTGAGACTTCCCTATTTTATTTAACCTTAAATATTTACCAATTTTACAATGCCCAAAGAAGAAAATTGCAAATGTCTTAAAAGACAAATTAAACCTGGAAAGCATCAACGTCAGAGGTATCTTCTGGATTTGACTTTCTGTACTATGAGCTATAGAGTTACAAATAAAAAGCCTATTTGGCTTCAAAGATACAAAGACATTAATAGAAGGCTCTCTCTTAAAAGAAACAAAAGGACAGGTTCTTCTGTTAAGCAATATTCTAGGTTTTATATATAAAAAGTCTCTTGCTTTTCACTTTAATGCATCTCAGATAGCAGATTATAACTTTATAAAACCTTCAAGACTTGCTTAAATCTCATGCCTAAAAAGGTTCACTTTTGCAAGTATTTCCATCCAACTCACAGGGAATATTTACACGCCTAATTTAACCAAAAAATGTCTGGGGCTTTAGTCGCTCACTAGAGAAAAGTGAGATTTGACCTATGGAAAGCAATAAGGCAATCCTTTTTTTTTTCTTTTTATTTCAAAGCATGAAATTATTAGTAGTGTGCGTTGAAAGAGTTACTCTGAAAAAAATATGAGAAAAACCATTAACAGTCAGCTGTAATACTGAGGCACAGTTCAGATGTCTTCCTTTCGAGTACCTAGCACTGATGACTTTTAAGAAGATCATACCAATGAATTAACAAGGTTACCAATGTACATCAACCCCACAAACACACAGAAAGATACTCACCTCTAGTGTCATCAGCTACTTGATTATTTCTCAATAAAGATTCATTAGTGTACCACAACCTCATCTAGCAGCTCAGGAAAATACTGCCTCCACTTTTGAGAGACAGCAAACTGAAGTGAAGGGAAAAATTGTAATAGTTTATCCTTGGCCATAAAGTTCATTGTGGTGGCCATGAATGGAATTCAGGAATCTTGGTTTACAGCCATGAAGTGAAATATTGTTTCTAGCAAAGCCAAACAAAATTCCACTGGACTTCAGAGGAGTCATGGTTCCACAACAAATTAGATGAATTGTGTCTAACATGAATACTGAAGTGTATATACGCTTAACTTACAAGAGAAATAAGGGAAATTCCAGTAGTTATAGTTAACTTGGATTTCCAGAAAATTTTACAAAGTCCATCTTGAAAGGCTTAAGAAAATTAAGCAGCTATAGGATATGATTTCCAAATGGATAAATAGCTTGTTAAAATAGAAACAGGGTTACAGTAAATGGTGTGTTTTCACTGAGGAAAGTCTCCACATGGTCTGTGCTAGGATCGTTTATGTTCAATATATTCATAAATGACATGATAAACATGTTCAAGTTTGCTGATCCTATTCCTTTATTCAGAATGTAAAGAACATAAAAACTAGAAAAAAGCAGAACAGACCTTACGAGTGGATGCACTATAATGTAGACGCTACAGGCAAAACCTTAAATTCAAAGATGATGGACTCAGAGTGACATCTAACCTTCAAGCATTAAGGCATGGAACTATAATAGGCAGAACAATAGAAAACCCTAGCTCAGTGCTTAGTAGGAGTTATACGGAAATCAGAATTCTATGGAAGAAAATACAAAACAAAAGGGAGAGTACAGTATTATACCATAATGCATTCATATCCTGAGCACTGCAGGTAAGCACGATGACCTTCACCCATGACTGGCACAATGCATTCATATCCTGAGCAGTGCATGTAAGCACGATGACCTTCACCCATGACTGGCACTGAAACCAAAAAAGATTGACCCTTTTTGTCACCTTTCAGTGAAAGATACATGCAGAAAATTTGAATATACTAGGACTTTTCAGCCTGGAAAAGAGGCAACAGAGCAGTGACGACCAAGATCTGTACGGTCAGGAGAACTCGAGGAAACTGCCGGTTCCCTCTGTCAACGCGAGAGTGATGACGATTCAGATGAAGTTACCACATTAACACCGAAACAGTGAAGGAAAGGGCTCTTCACATAATGTGGAGCTGAATCATTGAACCTGCTTGGTCATAACTTTTGCAGATACACAAACTGACTTTTGCACTTATCCAAGGAACAGCGACACTCAGTGACTTTCTCACTACACTGAGAATACTTCCGACAGGAACGTCTCCCCGCTGACATTCTCAACGCCTGGGAAAGGAACAAGGGAGCATCTCACCGTCACCTTCTACTACGCTCCGGTTGGCACATGTTCTTGGCATGCAGCACAGGGTGTTGAGTCAAGCTACGGGTGCATCAAGAAAAGTACGGTCATTCTGCTTAGTTACACATCAGGCAGCAGCCCTGAATTTATAGGTTCAAACACACATTTGTGAAAAGGCATTCCTCATACCGTGCAACATAGATTTTACCATGCAAAAAAACTGTCTGTAATAATATCCTAGATATGATTGTGACATTCTACAGTCTCAAAATAAGGCTGTGGGGTTTTTTTTACAACTTACCTATGAGGTCTGTAGGCCCAGTCCCCAAGTTTTCTCCTCTAATTGTCACTTTTGTCCATGAGATGCCTTCATTGGGAGAGATGCCAGTCACAAGCGGGGGCTGCCGTGTTCGAGACATGATGTCTTTTCAGTTATTGAAAACTGGACTGCTTTTATCTGTTCAGTAAGAAACAATAATTTAAAACCAATATTATGTAAAAATTAAAAAACATTCAAGCTCTTCTTCTAAAATGGTAGAGAAACATGAACATAAATATGGAACACCACCCTCAAAGCCTTTTTTGCCATGTAGTCATAAAATAATGAAGAATACTTACACTTTCTTTGCACTTCCATTTTTTAAATTTTTTAAATTACTCTACAATTCAGAACTAAAGCTAAAGAATATTGAGAAAGACATTAAACCCTTAAAATAATTAATGATACTATACACATACACTCCAAATCACTGATGTCAGAATTCAAATGAGCCTATTCAATCACATATTAGAAAGATATTAGTGTATTCCACAGAAAGTTTAGCATCGCTAAGCGAAGCGATAGACTATGATTTCACATATGGATAACTTCCCCATCAAAATTAGACTTACTGGCACAGACAGTCCCACAGGAAGAAGTCTCCAGCACTTATTTGTATAAAGTATCAACACTTACATAAACTGAGAAAATTGAAACATTACTTGCAGACACTACACTAGCAGAGAACGTCAACAAAACAAATACTATCCCAACTGATCAACAAAAATGTACATAAAAATCACCAGAGAAGCATTTCAAGAGGAGTATTCCTTTGCACCTGAAATCAGGAGTCAACTCAAACCAGTTTAATTAGCTTTATAATATAAACACCAATATGGTAAGCGCATTATGCAGCCTACATTTAGTTTACTGTGCAACTGATCACAAATTTCTGTAGCTTATTAGCTGTTTTCTTTGTGCAGCTCTGCAGCTAGAAGAAGCAGATGAGTATAGCCTGAAGTACATGAGCTCCCATGAACTTCACGTTTACACCACTTGGTAAACTAAGAGCCTGCCCACAGGTATACAGGTCCGACAGAGGTCATAAGACAGGCAGAAGAGATTCTTTTAAGGATTTCCACAGTAATTTTGCATCATCTGCTCAATTTCACACCTCCTGAATTCTTCTACTGAGACACAACTTCATCCTTAAAAATTCCTAGTAACAAAAATAATTTTCATTTGGTATTCCGGAACCTTGTAAAGTTATCTATGATCAGTTTCTAACAGGAATTTATCTGCATCATTTGAGACTGCCTTTGAAGAGTGTGTAATTAATGAGATGCACAACATATGTCTGGAACTAAGGTGGTTTGTTTTGATTTTATGTTTTTAACTGACAAACTTCCTAATATTTCCTGACTGAGTGACTTCACAACATTTATTAAAAACACTTTTCAACATTAATTTCCCAGGTTTTTTGCAAACGACAATCTGGTGAAAAAGAATCAAGTTCTCTAGTATCATACAAAACTCTGTACATAAAATACCAGAACTTTTCACACGAACCCAATATGAGGCTACAGAAAGGAGTAATCAGATGCAGTCAATAAGCTTGTGGAAGAAGAGCACTGAAGGAAAGGAGGACTGTATCAGCAAATTACAAAGGGATGAGCGGACAGTCCTCTCCAGCTATGGAGGAGAAGGTTGTGCTCTGGCAGGCTGAGTCCCGTCCCTCCTGCTGCCTCATGTCCCACTCCTGGTTCTCTCCCCTCATCACACAGACAGTCTCTGCCTCACCTCAAAACTGAGGCCGGGTCCTAGTTTGGTAGCCAAATTATTTCCCACCCCTATCCTGACGATTCTCCCTCTGATTTCATATCATATCAAGTTCAAGCAGAGATGGAGAGGGGTGTTAATATCCCAGTTCTCCTTCCAAATCTGGACACCTTGGTAATTTCTCTTCCTAACCACCTATTCCTTACCCAAAGCCTTTTTGTCCAGATAGTCCCCCTGCACTACTGTCGATCCACTTCCTCACCACAGGTGAAAATGACAGACCTGGTCTCCTGTCAGGGACCCTAGTCTGGGGGTCACAAGGCTTGTCCAGCTCTCCTCTCACCTGTGCTGCATGCAAAGCTACACAACCACAGCACGTCCTGACAAAACACCAGGCAGCACAAGGGAAATAAGCTTCCCACTTCCCAACGCTAAATCTAATACTAGCTGGAGCAATCAGAATCCCAAACTGCAAAGAAAGTCTTGTTTATTCCTATACAATTACAATACACACTTGCACACAAATTCCAACCTTTCAGAATTTGAAGTTTCCTTTGGAGTCCTGTGCAAAGAGGATATTAGAGAAGAATCAGCTGCCTAAGTTTAGAAGACAGCATGGCAGAGTTAAACAACAGTTGGACTTGATGATCTTGAAGGTCTTCTCCAACCATAATGATTCTATGATTTTAAGTTGACACAGAGCAAGGAAGACAAACTGCATCCATTCCTCATGATCTTAGCTACACAGTCTTTGTAGCTTTGCTCACAGATCCTCAGCAGAGCTTGAGAATACACAACGGCTGCAAAGCAACAGTGGGGTTACGCACCTTGTCACCTTCTGCCGGAAGCAGCACGTATCTAGACGCTAGCAAGACAACAGAAAAAACCTCTTTTACTTTTGACCAATTTTTGGTAAAGATTTATGTAGCATGTTAATCAGTAACACAGATGTACAAAACAAGCCATCTTCAGGAACTTGGTGATGCAGAATTCTTAAGGAATACAAGTAGAACAGAAGTTACTTTGGTATTACCTGGTTATTTTCTCCACTCCTCCCCCAAAAATATTATGGTTCCCTTGCATTGCAGCCATTGTTTCTTTCAAAATACCTAGGCACACAGGTAATTGGCTTGAATCAATATCGAAACTCAAAACTAATATTACAACATATTTTTCTGGATTTCAGAAATTGGCACTAGATCCTCCCTCATGATGAGCTAAATAAATGTAATAAAAAAGCTGAGCCTCCTGAGGTCTAATATTTCTTCTAAAGTATTTCCATACTTACTAAGAATTGCTTCAAAATACCTCACTGGCATGAAAATACCACAGTAAATCTCAACACAGTACAAAAGCACTAGAGCACTGAGATGCTCTATTATTACTTTTAAACTGCAATTGGTTTCATTTATTTCAAAAAGCAAATGAAGGAACTCTGTGGTATCTCTCCTTACTACAAATACCAAACAAATGCTTGGGAGCTTTCAATTCATTTATAATATTTTTCTCTGCTCCTTCTTATAGTAATTTTAACTATTGACATGTTTGTCATAACAGTCACTGAATAAAATGAACTGCTTACTGGCAAGTGTAGCCTAGTCACCACTGTGGCCCAAAAGCAGGCTTCTCTTTAAAAAAATAAAATAAAATATATATTTAAGGCAAAGCCAAAAAAAAGTAGTATACTTTCATTTCATGAAAAGACACAATAATCTAATTAATACTTTTTGTTGTAAATTCTATTCTTTACAAATATGTATTATGTATATAATAGTAACGTTAAAAATAGCAGCCCTCTTACTGAAACATTCCTTCTTATACAGACTAGGGGAGATTCCATAAAGACTGTTTTCTATACAAGATATTTCCTCTGAGGAGCCAGGCTCACTGAAGAAGTTTTTACATGGCTTTTTCTTTTTTTTTTTTTTTTTTTT